TGAACCGGGCCCGAACCGTTTCTTTCCCTAACCCCTTAACCCGTGCTGAAACGGGCCCGGGAAACCCCCTTTCATTTCCCTTGACCCATCTAACCCGGGCCAGAACCTTTTCATTTCCCCAGACCCATTTTTAACCCGGGGCCAAACCCCGGGCCAGAACCCGGACCAGAAACCCTTTTCCCTTTCCTAGCCCCTTTTAACCCGGGCCAGGGAAACCGTTTCATTTTTCCCCAGACCCATATAAAACCCCCGGGCCCGAACCTTTTCATTTTTTCCCCAAAACCCCCTCTAACCCGGACCGAACCCGGGACCGAACCGGTTTTTTTCCCCAGACCCTTAACCCTGGGCAGAACCCGGGCCCAGAAACGTTTCATTTCCCCAGACCCAATTTTTAACCCGGGACGGGAAACCCGGGGGGCCCGAAAACCTTTTTTATTTCCCCAGCCCCTCTAACCCCGGGCCCGAACCCGGGCCCGAACAGTTTTATTTCCCCAGACCCATTAACCGGGCTGAAAAACGGGCCAGAACCGTTTTTATTTCCCTAGGGCCCCTCTAAACCCCGGGGCCCGAAAAGAACCTTTTTTATTTTCCCCGGGGCCCATCTAAAAACCCCGGGCCAGGAAACCCTTTCATTTCCCTGAACCTCTAAAACCCCGGGGAGAAAAACCCCGGGCCAGAACCCCTTTCATTTTCCCGAAACCCCTCTAACCCGGAAAGAAAACCCGGGCCCGAAACCGTTCCATTTTCCCAAAAACCCCTCTAAACCCCCGGGGGGGGGGAAAGGGAAAATGGGCCAGAAAACCCCTTTCATTTTCCCCAGCCCAATTTAATCGGGGGTGAAACCCCGGGGCCGAAAACCCTTTCATTTCCCCAGACCTCTTAAACCCCGGGGTGAACCCGGGGGAGAACCGGGTTTTATTTCCCTAGGGCCCATCCCAACACCCCTGCTGAAAACCCGGGCCCGAAAAACCCTTTCATTTCCCCCGACCCATTCTTAAACCCCGGGGCCCGGACCTTTTCATTTCCCTAGACCCATTAACCCGGGGCCCGAACCCGGGGCCCGAAAACCCCGGGCCAGAAAAACCGTTTTTTATTTCCCTTTGAAAAATTTTTAACCCGGGCCCGAACCCTTTTTATTTCCCCCAGACCCATCTAACCCGGGCCCCCCGAATCCTTTTCATTTTCCCCCGGGCCCATCTTTAAACCCGGGGCCCCGGAAACCCTTTCATTTTTCCCCAGACCCATCTAACCCGGGGAGAACCCGGGCCAGAACCGTTTCATTTCCCTAGACCCATCTAAAACCCGGGGGTGAAAAGGGCCAAGGGAAACCCCCTTTCTTTTTCCCTAGACCCATTTTAACCCCGGGGAGAAAACCCGGGGCCCGAAAACCCTTTCATTTCCCTGGAAACCCCTCTAACCCGGGTGAAAACCCGGGGCCCGAACCGTTTCATTTCTTATTTTTTTTTTTTTACGGTTTATTTGAACAGGGGACAGTTCACTTTAAAAAACATTTTCGTAAATGAGCCAGTTTTAAAATTTAAAAAGCTTTAAATTTTTTAAAAAGTGTCCCTGGGGGAAGGGGTTTTAAAAAGCCAACATAATTAAAAAAAAAAAAACATTAAAAAATTAGTTTCAACAATAAATTAAAAAAAACATTTGTTAGGGAATTTTAAAAAAAAGTTGGACATTGATCTGTAAAAAACAAAGACATTATTTTCAAATTTAAAAATTTTAAAAACATTTACAAAAGTGCTAGACAGGAAGGGCAGAAATTATTGATTATGTTTTCAAAGGGTTTTTTTTCTTTCCCGTAAAACCCTTTCCCTTTGGACCCCTCTAACCCGGGCCAGGGAAACCCTTTTATTTCCTAGACCCCTCTAACCGGGCCAAAAAACCGTTTCATTTCCCCCAGCCCATCTAAAACCCGGGCCAGGAAAAAGTTTCTTTTCCCTTGACCCAAACTAAACCCCGGGTGCGGAAAACCGAACCCTTTTTTTTCCCTAGCCCATCTAACCCGGGCTGAAAAAATGGGCCCGAAAACCCTTTCATTTCCCTTGACCCAAACTAACCCGGGGTGTAAACCGGGGCCCCGAAAATGTTTCATTTTTCCCCCAGGGCCCTTCCCATCCCGGGTGGGAAAAAGGGGCCAGAACCGTTTTTTTTCCCCGACCCTTTTAACTCGGGCTGCGGGGCCAGAAAACCCTTTCATTTCCTTTACCCATCTAACCCGGGGGTGCGGAACCCGAAAAACCCTTTCATTTCCCTAGGCCCATTAAACCCCGGGGTGAACCCGGGCCAGGGAAAAGTTTTATTTTTTTTAGACCCATCTTTAACCCCGGGGTGAACCTGGGCCAAAACCCTTTCATTTCCCCGGGCCCCTCTTTCCCGGGCTGAACCCCGGGCCAGAACCCTTTTTATTTCCCCAGACCCCTTAACCCGGGTGAACCTGGGGCCCGAAACGTTTAATTTCCCTAGACCCCTCTAAACCCGGGGTGAACCCGGGCCAAAAAACCGTTTCATTTCCCCCAGAAACCCCTCTAACCCCGGGTGAACCCGGGCCAGAAACCGTTTCATTTCCCCAAACCCCTCTAACCCGGGCTGAAAACCCGGGCCAGAAAACCTTTTATTTTTCCCCCAGCCCCTCCCAACCCGGGCTGGGCCAGAAACCCCTTTCATTTCCCCAGACCCATCTAACCCGGGCTGAACCTGGGCCAGAAAACCCTTTATTTCCCCAGCCCATTTCAACCCCGGGCCCGAACCGGGCCGAAAAAGTTTCATTTCCCCAGACCCCTCTAACCCGGGGTGAAAACCCCGGGGCCCGAACCCTTTTATTTTTTCCCTTTGGGCCCATTTTAACTCGGGCCCGCGGACCAAAAACCAATTTTTATTTCCCCTTTACCCCTCTAAAACCCCGGGGTGCGGCCAGAAAAGTTTCATTTCCCTTTGACCCAAAATTTAAACCCCGGGGTTGAACCTGGGCCAGAACCCCTTTCATTTCCCTAGAACCCAAACTAAACCCGGGCTGAAAAAAAAGGGCCAGAAACCCTTTCATTTCCCGCCCCTCCCAACCCGGGCTGAACCTGGGCCAGAACAGTTTTAAATTTTCCCCCGCCCATCTAAAAAACCCCCCCGGGCTGGGAAACCCGGGCCCCGAAAAAAAACCCTTTCATTTCCCTAGGCCCATCTAACCCGGGCTGAACCTGGGCCCAGAACCATTTATTTCCCTGGGGCCCCTCTAACCCGGGCTGAAACCCCGGGGCCCCCGAACCGGGTTTTATTTTCCCCAGACCCATCTAATCCCGGGGTGCGGACCGGGAACCCTTTTCATTTCCCCAGACCCCTCTAACCCCGGGGTGCGGACCCGGGAAAGTTTTCATTTTTCCCCAGACCCATTAAACCCCGGGGTTTAACCCGGGCCGAAACCGGTTTTTTTTCCCTAGAACCCCTTAACCCCGGGTGAACCCGGGCCGAACCGTTTTCATTTCCCTAGAACCCAAACTAACTCGGGGGGTGGGGGGACCGAACCATTTCATTTCCCAGGGCCCCTCTAACCCCGGGGTGCGGACCCAGAACCCTTTTTATTTTCCCCAGGGGGCCCCTTTAAAAACCGGGTTTAACCTGGGGGCCCGGGAACCCTTTCATTTCCCTGACCCAAACTAACCCCGGGGTGAACCTGGGGGCCCGAACCGTTTCATTTCCCAGAAACCCCTCAAACCCCGGGGAACCTGGGCCCGAAACCCCCTTTTATTTCCCTAGGGCCCCTCTAACCCCGGGGTGGAAACCTGGGCCCCGAACCGTTTCATTTTCCTAGACCCATCTAAACCCGGGTGAAACCCGGGGCCCGGAAAACCCTTTCATTTTCCCCAGCCCATCTTTAAAACCCCGGGTGCGGGGCCGAACCGTTTCAAATTTTCCCCAGGGCCCATCTAACCCGGGCTGAACCTGGGCCAAAAACGTTTCATTTCCCTAGAACCCCTTTTAACCCGGGGCCGAAACCCTTTCATTTCCCCTTGACCCTTTAACCCGGGTTTGGGCCTGAAAAACCCTTTTTCATTTCCCTTGCCCTTTTTTTCCCGGGCGGGAAAACCCGGGGCCGGTAACCCGTTTAAACCCCCCCCCCCAACCCCCCCGGGCCCGAACCCGGGCCAAAAAACCTTTTATTTTTCCCAGACCCATTTTATAACCCGGGCTGAACCTGGGCCAGAACCGTTTCATTTCCCTAGACCCATCTAACCCGGGCTGCGGACCAGAACCGTTTCGGTACGGTAATCAGTAAAACAATCTCTTTCACCAGCTTTATATAACGGAACCTTTTGGGCGGTTTTCATTTCATGTGGAAATCTTCCAGTTTGGAGGATAAATTAAAAAAAGACCTCAGTGGTTTTATAAATACTCTAATCAATTATTTTATAGATTCCATGTCAATGTTATTAAAACCTGCAGAGGTTTTTGGTTTGAGTTTATTTCCTCGTTTTTAACAGCTTCAGCTTCTGCCTTGTCATCATCTTTGATCCGCTAAATTGGAATCCACATTTACAAAAACATGTTAAATTCATCCTATTAAACTTGTGAGTTTTTTTTTTTATATTTTTTATACCTTTTTTCAGCATCTATTGTTTTCTCCTTGATAAATTCCTTATATAGCATATTTTTCTTTTGCAAGCGTTAATAAGCCCCTTTGACATCCATACATTTTCTTTATTTATTTTTATACTTTTTAATGGGCAATGCTTTTCATACAACATTCTGAATTTTTTAAGAAATATGCCGAATGCGTTGTTAACGTTTTCTTCATAAAACTCACTTCAATTGTGTCTTAGTCAATCCTCTCTTAGATCTGCATTAATTGTTCTGATTTTATTCTTCTATATGTAAAATATTCCTTTTGCTCCATAACATTCTCACCATCAATTACTGCAAAGACCGGCAGGTGGTCGGTCATGTGGCGGTAAACACCTCCAACATTAACACCCGCCTGGTTCTGTGCCCTGATTGGTCAGGTCCAAGAAGGAGGATGAGCTGATCGGGGACAGATATGAAGAACATGACTGGCAGAAAATCTCCAACATCGACGTGAGTAAATGAAGCGACCGGCGGATTGATGAGCCGACGGCTCCGCTCAGGTCTGCTCCTCTTCCCCAGTTTGAAGGGACGAGGGACGCAGAGGACATCCGTCTCTTCTGGCAGAACTTCCTCCATCCGTCCATCAACAAAAGTCCCTGGAGTAACGAGGAGGTGGAGCAGCTTAATGAGATCTGCAGGAGACACCGGGAGAGGAACTGGGAGAAGATCGCAGAGGAGCTGGGGGTAGGAACGCTTTGGGGGGGGCTGAACCAGCTTCATTGGCTTTAACTCCGCCCATACATCTTAAACACTGCCCACCGGGCCAGCTAATCCAATCAGCTGCTCCTCTGCTCGATGGCGGAGATTTACTTCTGTTTCTTGTCCTGCTGAATGTCAGGAGCTCTGTGTTAAACCCAGTGTCTCCTAACATTTCCTAGATTTACTCACTATAAACGTTTTTCACTCAGTCAGCCATTGTTTTGCAAGGATAAACCATGTGATGGTGTTTATAGACCAGAGAAAAACTAACCAGATTCTTTCTCCAGGTTTATTCATAACATGTTATGTTTCAGCAAAGTGTCTGTAATTGTAAATGGGGAGGAATAAACGCTGCTCAGGCAGAACAGGGCTGATTACCGAGCAATAAGAGCCGCATGAGGAACCGTTCTCTCTTTGCAAAGATATGATGAAGTACCGACTGAGTGAAATCCATCCATCTGTTTATTTAACTGCAGTAAATAGGTCAATCATTTTTCCCTGCTGCAATTTGCCGTCATGAACAGGATCTCCTGGACAGCGTCTCCGCCATTCTTCGTGCAGCAGAGGATAATGAAGTTTGCACTGTCTGAGGTGTGTTTGGAAGAGCAGCTTAGATTGTGGTTGTTGGTGGTTCAGCTGGTTGCGTCCCTGAAACTGCAGAGAACCAGGTTGGATTTGCTTATTGTTCTCTTCATGTTTAACTGCTTCTTTGCCAGAAACCTTCTCAGCCCAAACTGCTGAACTTGCTGCTTTAACAGAAGCCTGTAAGTCGACTGAAGGACAAACTGACTATCAGGCTGCTTTTGGTTGTGGGTTTGGATTTTAAATCCTGTATCTGCTTCCTCAGCCGGTTAGTCGCCCGCTGAACGGGTTTCCCTAACACAGCTGCTGTGTGACGGTCAGTAGGATCCGTTTGGTTCTGGACCAAAGTCTCAGTCCAATCAGGGCCGTTCGGTAACTTCCCTCCACCCAGATGGCAGCTCTGGGCGAGTCACTTCCATCCTGGGACCGAAGCTGTTAGTCCAGCCGCCGTTTCAGCAGTGAACTCCTTCCTACCCAGCAGGTTCTGCAGCAGCTTCTCCCCCACCGCCATCACACTGATCAACTGCTGGATCAACTCTAAATCTCCACGATGTTTACATCTGATCACTGCTGCTTTATGAGAGCTGTACTAAATGACAATAACAGTCTCTATCTGCTCCCTGTCCCACAGACTGGGAGGACGGCCTTCATGTGTCTCCAGATGTTCCAGCGTTTCGTCTCCAGCTCTCTGAAACGAGGAAGCTGGACTCCAGAGGAGGACGCCCAGCTCAGAGAGCTGGTCCAGAAGATGAGGATCGGAAACTTCATCCCTTACACTCAGAGTATGACGCCACGCTGTGACATCACAGCGTGATGTCACGCTGTGACATCACAGCGTGACATCACGCTGTGATGTCACAGCGTGATGTCACGCTGTGACGCCACGCTGTGACATCACGCTGTGACGCCACGCTGTGACGCCACGCTGTGACGTCACGCTGTGACGCCACGCTGTGACGTCACGCTGTGACGCCACGCTGTGACGTCACGCTGTGACGCCACGCTGTGACATCACGCTGTGACATCACGCTGTGACATCACGCTGTGACATCACAGCGTGACGCCACGCTGTGACATCACGCTGTGACATCACGCTGTGACATCACGCTGTGACGCCACGCTGTGACATCACGCTGTGACATCACGCTGTGACATCACGCTGTGACGCCACGCTGTGACATCACGCTGTGACATCACGCTGTGACATCACGCTGTGACGCCACGCTGTGACATCACAGCGTGACGCCACGCTGTGACGCCACGCTGTGACATCATGCTGTGACATCACGCTGTGACGCCACCCTGTGACGCCACCCTCTGACGCCACCCTGTGACGCCACCCTGTGACGCCACCCTGTGACGTGATGCCCTCTCTGACGAAGCCTCTGCTTACAGTGAGTTACTTCATTGAGGGTCGGGATCCATGCCAGCTGCTCTACAGGTGGACCATGGTTCTGGACCCCAGGCTGAAGAAAGGCCCATGGAGCAAAGAAGAGGACCAGGTATGAGTCGGACCCATGTCTGCTCCTCCTTCCTGGTCCAGGACCGCCTACCGGATCTGAAATCTAGGATCCAGTAACGCTTGGTTTATGCTTGACCTGTCCACGAGGTTCGCATGGCCAGATGACGCCATTTTGGGCTTCCACGCCTCTCTGCATGGCGCCCGATGCAGACAGAATTTACTAAAACTTGTAACAGTGGAAGAGTGAGCAGCAGCTTCTGCTGGCGAGGGTTTGATTTAGCCCCTAAATATGACCATTATCCACAGACGATGGAGAAACTCCAGGAAGGAACCGACTGTGGCTCTCAGAGAGCATGAAGAGGCTTTGATAAAGTTGTAAACGGCTGTCCGTACATCAAGCATAATGAGCCTTTGATGCTACGTTCAGACTGCCAGGCTGGAAGCAGCAAAGCAGCTTCTGCTGCTTCATCTCTGATCCACATTAAGGTCAGACGTCCAGTAAAATGCTTCTGCTGCTCCTGTGTTCGATGCCAGAGAGCAGCTTTGCTATATTAGCTGTGATCAGCGGGTAGAAAGTAGTTAGAATCTATGTTGAAGTGAGAAAGTCCTCCTGAAAACATGGTCTGTGCAGTCAGTTCATCCAGATTACCATCCTGCCTTCAAAGATTATTTCTCTGTGGGAGCCGCTCAGACCCCCACATACCGGCGCTGCGCTGTCACTGGGAATCCCCAGCAGCAGCTGCCTCAGGCCCGCTCGCCTCTCCAGGGTTTTCCCCTCCTGTTGGTGGCGGCTGGAAGTAGATGTTAGCGTTTTTCAGGTCTGTGCTACAAACTGCAGGCAGCAGGATAATAAAAGCCAACATATTCTGCCGGCAGGTTTCTACATTTGAAGTTAATTTAGGCGTTAATAAACTGTTTCAGAGGAGTGATCATAGCGCTCTGCATCAGCAGTGCTGCGTCTGACTCCCTGCCAGCTCCCAGATCAGCTTCTCTCATTGGTTGATGCGGCGCGTCCAGCAGCTTGCGCAGCAGTGTATCGCAGATATTCCAAACAGGAAATACACATAGATTAGAGCAGATGTAGATCTGACCAATCAGAGGCCTCCTGTCTGCGGAAGGGGCGGGGCTTATCTGCATTACCTGTGACACATGCAGACCACCTGGTTTCTGAGGATAAACCAGCCCTAACCCTCAGCTGCTCATGAGGCGCTGCAGGAGCTTTTGCTGCACCTTGATGTGCTTCAATCATTGTCTTTGCCTGGACAGCAGCTTCCTCTGCTGCCTCCAGCGTCTGATTGTAGCGTTAGTCTGTCTCCGTCTGTCTGACGGGACGCCTGTCTGTCTCCATCAGCTCCTCCTGCAGGCTGTGGCTCGTTACGGGGAGAAGTGCTGGTGGAAGGTCCGGTTAGAAGTTCCTGGACGCTCTGATGGAGCCTGCAGGGACAGGTGAGAACCTGGAGGAGGACAGAGTGGTGACTCTGTCCCTCTGATAGTCTCTGTCCGTCTCTCTGATGGTCTCTGTCCGTCCCTCTGATAGTCTCTGTCCGTCTCTCTGATGGTCTCTGTCCGTCTCTGTCTGTCCCTCTGATAGTCTCTGTCCGTCTCTCTGATAGTCTCTGTCTGTCCCTCTGATAGTCTCTGTCCGTCTCTCTGATGGTCTCTGTCCGTCTCTCTGATAGTCTCTGTCCGTCTCTCTGATGGTCTCTGTCCGTCTCTGTCTGTCCCTCTGATAGTCTCTGTCCGTCTCTCTGATGGTCTCTGTCCGTCTCTGTCTGTCCCTCTGATAGTCTCTGTCCGTCTCTCTGATGGTCTCTGTCCGTCTCTGTCTGTCCCTCTGATAGTCTCTGTCCGTCTCTCTGATGGTCTCTGTCCGTCCCTCTGATAGTCTCTGTCTGTCCCTCTGATAGTCTCTGTCCGTCTCTCTGATAGTCTCTGTCCGTCTCTGTCTGTCCCTCTGATAGTCTCTGTCCGTCTCTCTGATGGTCTCTGTCCGTCTCTGTCTGTCCCTCTGATAGTCTCTGTCTGTCCCTCTGATAGTCTCTGTCCGTCTCTCTGATGGTCTCTGTCCGTCTCTGTCTGTCCCTCTGATAGTCTCTGTCCGTCCCTCTGATAGTCTCTGTCCGTCCCTCTGATAGTCTCTGTCCGTCTCTCTGATAGTCTCTGTCCGTCTCTCTGATAGTCTCTGTCCGTCTCTCTGATGGTCTCTGTCCGTCTCTGTCTGTCCCTCTGATAGTCTCTGTCTGTCCCTCTGATAGTCTCTGTCCGTCCCTCTGATAGTCTCTGTCCGTCCCTCTGATAGTCTCTGTCCGTCTCTCTGATAGTCTCTGTCCGTCTCTGTCTGTCCCTCTGATAGTCTCTGTCCGTCTCTCTGATAGTCTCTGTCCGTCTCTCTGATGGTCTCTGTCCGTCCCTCTGATGGTCTCTGTCCGTCTCTCTGATGGTCTCTGTCCGTCTCTCTGATGGTCTCTGTCCGTCTCTCTGATGGTCTCTGTCCGTCCCTCTGATAGTCTCTGTCCGTCTCTCTGATGGTCTCTGTTCGTCCCTCTGATAGTCTCTGTCCGTCCCTCTGATAGTCTCTGTCCGTCTCTCTGATAGTCTGTCCGTCTCTGTCTGTCCCTCTGATAGTCTCTGTCCGTCTCTCTGATGGTCTCTGTCCGTCCCTCTGATGGTCTCTGTCCGTCTCTCTGATGGTCTCTGTCCGTCTCTCTGATGGTCTCTGTCCGTCTCTGTCTGTCCCTCTGATAGTCTCTGTCCGTCCCTCTGATAGTCTCTGTCCGTCTCTCTGATGGTCTCTGTCCGTCTCTCTGATGGTCTCTGTCCGTCTCTCTGATAGTCTCTGTCCGTCTCTCTGATAGTCTCTGTCCGTCTCTCTGATGGTCTCTGTCCGTCTCTCTGATAGTCTGTCCGTCTCTGTCTGTCCCTCTGATAGTCTCTGTCCGTCCCTCTGATAGTCTCTGTCTGTCTCTCTGATGGTCTCTGTCCGTCTCTCTGATGGTCTCTGTCCGTCCCTCTGATAGTCTCTGTCCGTCTCTCTGATAGTCTCTGTCCGTCTCTCTGATAGTCTCTGTCCGTCTCTGTCCGTCCCTCTGATAGTCTCTGTCTGTCTCTCTGATGGTCTCTGTCCGTCCCTCTGATAGTCTCTGTCCGTCTCTCTGATAGTCTCTGTCCGTCTCTCTGATGGTCTCTGTCCGTCTCTGTCCGTCCCTCTGATAGTCTCTGTCCGTCTCTCTGATAGTCTCTGTCCGTCTCTCTGATGGTCTCTGTCCGTCTCTGTCCGTCCCTCTGATAGTCTCTGTCCGTCTCTGATAGTCTCTGTCCGTCTCTGTCTGTCCCTCTGATAGTCTCTGTCCGTCTCTCTGACGGTCTCTGTCTGTCCCTCTGATAGTCTCTGTCCGTCTCTCTGATGGTCTCTGTCCGTCTCTGTCTGTCCCTCTGATAGTCTCTGTCCGTCTCTGTCTGTCCCTCTGATAGTCTCTGTCCGTCTCTGATAGTCTCTGTCCGTCTCTGTCTGTCCCTCTGATAGTCTCTGTCCGTCTCTCTGATAGTCTCTGTCCGTCTCTGTCTGTCCCTCTGATAGTCTCTGTCCGTCTCTCTGATGGTCTCTGTCCGTCTCTGTCTGTCCCTCTGATAGTCTCTGTCCGTCTCTCTGATGGTCTCTGTCCGTCTCTGTCTGTCCCTCTGATAGTCTCTGTCCGTCTCTCTGATAGTCTCTGTCTGTCCCTCTGATAGTCTCTGTCCGTCTCTCTGACGGTCTCTGTCTGTCCCTCTGATAGTCTCTGTCTGTCCCTCTGATAGTCTCTGTCCGTCTCTCTGATAGTCTCTGTCCGTCTCTGTCCGTCTCTCTGATGGTCTCTGTCCGTCTCTGTCTGTCCCTCTGATAGTCTCTGTCCGTCTCTCTGATAGTCTCTGTCTGTCCCTCTGATAGTCTCTGTCTGTCCCTCTGATAGTCTCTGTCCGTCTCTCTGATGGTCTCTGTCTGTCCCTCTGATAGTCTCTGTCCGTCTCTCTGATAGTCTCTGTCTGTCCCTCTGATAGTCTCTGTCCGTCCCTCTGATAGTCTCTGTCCGTCCCTCTGATGGTCTCTGTCCGTCCCTCTGATAGTCTCTGTCCGTCTCTCTGATGGTCTCTGTCTGTCCCTCTGATAGTCTCTGTCTGTCCCTCTTGTCTTCAGGTACTTGGACTGTCTGAAGAAGAGCATAAAGAAAGGAAGCTTCGACAAACATGAGGTGGAGCTGCTGAAGAAGCTGGTGGAGAAACACGGCGTTGGTGAGGTTCTGATGATGATGATGATGATGATGATGATGATGATGATGATGATGATGATGAAGCAGCCTCTGACCCGGGTGTCGCTGTGCCGCAGGCCGCTGGGCAAAGATCGCTGCAGAGATTCCTCACCGCCTGGATGCTCAGTGCATGAGGGAGTGGAGGAAGCTGATCCGACCTCCTGCTCAGGTACCGGCAGGAACCAGGAGCAAAGCCAGGAGGAGCTGAGGGCACCTCCCTGTTGATGCTCCCTCTCCCTCTGTGACAGGGCAGGAAGCAGACCCAGAAGACCCAGAAGGCCAAAGCAGGACGAGGAGGGTGGAAGACAGCCGCCGCCATCAAGAAGGAGGAGAACACGGATGAGGAGGAACAGGAGGACGAAGATGAGGTGGTCCGGTACATGGATTCTAGTGAAGACTCTGAGGAGGAGCAGGAGCAGGAGGAGGAGTACATCATCCCCCCTATGGAGGAGTGGATCCCCCTGAAGACGAAACCATCGTCCTCCATGCTGAGCTTCCAGGCTGTGGAGCTCCCTCCTTCCTCTGCCGCTCCTGATGGGACCTCTGTCCGCTCCACCGTCCTGGAACGTTCTGGAACTTCCGTCATCATCGGCCCTCCTCCCAGAGTGCTGTCCAGGGAGGAGCGCCACCGCTCCTCTGCCATGCAGATGGTGTCTCAGGAGGGGCTGCGCCTCCACCTGAGCGCCTTGAAGCAGAAGCCCAGAGTGAGGGGGGGGGGGCAGCTGCAGCACGAGCTGCAGGCCGCCGTCACGCCGTGGATCGGGAACCTTCTGATGGCTAAAACCCGCAGAGACACGGCCACAGACGTGCTGAGGGAGCGAGGGGAGCGGGGCGGCGTCTCCACCTCCTCCATGTTTCTGCTGCTCCTCCAAGCCATGAACGTGGACACACTGGGCTGCAGGGAGATGATAGAGCAGAGGAGGAGCCAGGCGGAGCTCCTGGCCCCGCCCCCTGCTCCCAGATCACAGCCCAACCCCTGGCACGTCTCTGAGCTCCTGAAGCAGCAGAGGAGCAGGGGGATGCAGGCTCCTCCTACCAGCCAGCACCTCCTCCCCCAGAATCCTCCTCCCAGCCAGCAGCTCCTCCCCCAGACTCCTCCTACCGGCCAGCACCTCCTCCCCCAGAATCCTCCTCCCAGCCAGCACCTCCTCCCCCAGAATCCTCCTCCCAGCCAGCACCTCCTCCCCCAGAATCCTCCTCCCAGCCAGCACCTCCTCCCTCAGACTCCTCCTCCCAGCCAGCACCTCCTCCCTCAGACTCCTCCTACCAGCCAGCACCTCCTCCCCCAGGCTCCTCCTCCCAGCCAGCACCTCCTCCCTCAGGCTTCTCCTACCAGCCAGCACCTCCTCCCCCAGAATCCTCCTCCCAGCCAGCACCTCCTCCCCCAGAATCCTCCTCCCAGCCAGCACCTCCTCCCCCAGAATCCTCCTACCAGCCAGCACCTCCTCCCCCAGGCTCCTCCTCCCAGCCAGCACCTCCTCCCTCAGACTCCTCCTTCTGGAGGTCCTCAGGTGTTTCCTCAAAGCACCTTCTTTGCTCCTGCCTCCATCTACTTTGCTCCTGCACCTCCAGGCCCTCGGCTGCCAACCTGCCTCTCCTCCTCAGCTCCCCCTCTTGGTTCCAGTCTAACCAGTTTCCAGGCTCCTCCACCCAGTCAGACCCCAGCTGGCAGGGATGAGGCTGCCTGCAGCAGTGAGGGCGGGGCTAAGCTGGATATGGGTGGAGCTAACATCGATGTAGGCGGGTCTAAAGTGGACTTGTGTACAGTCTGGCCTGATGCAGGTGGCGAGAAATCTGATGGGCGGAGCAATCCTGGACTGGTTGGAGGTGTGGAAGGAGGAGCGTTTGAAGAACCCCATCAGCAGGAGGAAGCACCTCTAGATTCTAAGGTAAAGTTCTCAGCAGGTTCCCCTGAGGAACGTTCTGTGATGGTCTGATCCATAGCTGGAGTAACTCGACCAACCGCTACAGCAGAGCCTCACCGTTCCCCTCTGAACCTCAGCAGATGCAGCAGGAGCAGTTCCTCCTCTGCTCCCCTCTGCTTGGCCTCAGAGAAAACTTTTGTCATTTTCGACACAGACTGGATATAAAATGAAGTTTCTTTAGTGCAGCTTCCAGACAGTTAATGAACATTTCCATCCCATAAAGTGCAGCAAATGGAAGCTGTGGGAGAAAAACATGGTGCAAAAAAATGGCCTGCAGTTACTGTATTGTTAGCATGACCTTAGTGGTGGGAAAAAAGTATTCAACCATTCATCCTAGTTAAATAAACGTAGATGGATGGATTTCACTCAGTCGGCACATTTATTCATATGTTTGCACAGAGAGAACAGTTCATCATGCAGCCCTAATGGCAGCATTCTGCCCTGTTCTGATCTGAGCAGCGTTCGTTCCTCCTTACTGACAACAATGGAAAGGAGTCGAAACTAATTACAGACACTTTGGTTGAACAGAAACATGTTATGAAGAAACCTGAGAAAGAATCTGGTTTGTTATGGAAGAAGCAATGACTGCTCTACAAACACCATCCTGCAGAGAATGGTGTGGCCTTGAAAGAGGAACAGACTGAGTGAAAACTTTTATAGAGAGTAAATAGGATGAATTAATATATAATAGAAGAGAAATCAAAATTTTTCAACACCACCTTTCTCATCCTGATGGGTAACTGGTCGTTTTCCAGTGCAACAGCCTCGGATCCAGTTCATCCCAGACCAATCAGCTTCAGCTGGTTGGTCGTTAACTGTGACATCATTGCCGGTCTGCTTGGTCATAATACTCTGCTGTTCTCCTTTCAGCCTGTATCCATGACGACGGCACGTTCTCTAGAAACACGTCCAGACGTTTACGCCATCAGCAGCGACCATCCGTATGCAGCCGTCAGCTCCTCCACCTCTGCTCCTCAGTCCTCCTGCCCCCCTCGCGTAGCACAGGCTCCGCCCACCTCCACAGAGACTACGGTTCATCAGAGCGAAGGCAGGAAGAGGAGGCGGGGGGATTTGGGCGGGGCCGATTTGATCCAGCAGGGGAAGAGAGTCCGAAGGCCGACCCCGAAGATCAGGGAATTTGCAGAGGTCAAGGTGAGTTCCAGTCTGTGATGTCATCGATGACCTCACAGTTTCCCGCAGACTGAGGTCTGGACTAGAACAGTTGATGGAACCAGGTTCTGGTTCAGGTTAAATGTTGACAGATTTTAGGTTCATGTTCCAGAACAAGCAGACACCAGAACCCAATAGAACCTCCCATCTGATGGCGTTCTGTTTTTCTTTCTAGGCTAAAAAAGAAAAGAAGAAGCGACCCGCCTCGTCTGCCAAACAGAAGAAAGCTGGCAGGTCTCCGGCCCCGCCCTCGGCTCAGGCCCCCGGGTTTCATCTCCTCCCTTGTTGGCCCATTTGGGTTATGACACCAGCTGGATCCATGTCCTTGGCTCAGGCCCCGCCCCCGACCAAGGTCCCGCCCCTGGCTCAGGCCCCGGCTCCGGCTCAGAACCCGGCCCGGGCTCAGACCCGACCCCTGGCTCAGGCCCCGGCTCCGGCTCCGGCTCAGACCCGACCCCTGGCTCAGATCCGAGCCCAGGCCCCGCCCCTGGCTTTGGCCCCGCCCCTGGCTCAGGCCTCAGGGGTTCATCTGCTGCCTAGTCTGCCCCTGTGGGTCATGACCCCAGCTGCATCCATGTCTTTGGTTGCGGCTCTGCCTCCAGATCCTAAAGTTCCGCCCACTCTGACAGCTGGAAGCTCAAAGGTTGTTGGTTTGAATTCTGCTGCTACAGCAGGAGCCCCGCCCCCTGGGAACATGAAGCTGCTCCTCCCAGCAGTCAACCAATCACCTGAAAAGCCTGTGCTGCCTTACAGCGGGGTGGTCCAGGTGGACCCACTGAAGCCTCCTCCCCTGCGGAGGGTGGGGGTGCACTTTGATCCCTCCCTCATGTTCCTGGAGACCCAAGAGGCAGTGAAGGATTGGCTGAGTGGGGAAGGGGGCGTGGCCATCCCCGGGGCGAGGTCTGCCCTTCCCTACCTGCCGCCGTTCATCAGCACTCTGAACACGCTCAGTCTGCTTCTGGAGTCCAAGAAATCTCTGATGACGGCGTCTCTGAAGCTGCTGGACAGCGTACACACACCTGTAGGCTCTCAGACCCATCCTGGCTCCGCCCCCTCAGTGGGGCCGGACTCCATGTCTGAGCAGAGAGTGGCGCCAGAGCAGCCAGGCGGCGCTCAGAGGTTCGTTCTCTCTGCAGACCGGCAGCAGGTGAAGGAGGTGCGTCAGCTGGTGGCCCAACGTTTCTCCTCCAACCCCGCCTACCAGCTGCTAAAGGCCCGCTTCCTGTCTTGCTTCACCGTCCCTGCACTCCTGGCCACCGTGGAGCCGCTTGTCAACAACAGCGCGGCGTCTGCAGCCGACGAGGAGGAGGAAGAGGAGGAGAAGATGAAGAGAATCCAGGAGAGAGGAAGGAGGAGGAAAGCCGAGGTGAGTCCTGACAGGTAGAGGCTGCTGCTCTTTAGACTGCCACCAGATGGCAGCATTTCACAATGAAACGCTGACTTCATCTAAAGTTTTAGGATTTATAAAAGAAAGGAAGATTGGATATAGGTCTATAATTGACCAAGTCATCTGGGTCAAGAGACGGTTTCTTAAGCAGAGGTTTAATTCCAGCAACCTTAAAAGCTTTAGGTACATATCCCTGTAACAGAGATAGATTAATCACATCTAAAATGGAGGAGGAGATCAAAGGGAATACCTCCTTAAATAACCTGGTTGGAACTGGATCTAACATACAAGTTGAAGGCTTAGATGAAGACAATAATTTTGCTAATTCAGAAAGTTCAACTGGATCAAAGCAGTCTAAACCCAGTTCAGATTCCATGACTACCTCAGATGCTGCCCCCCCCTCCAGAGACAAACCAATCGCGGATAGAGGAGTGCTTATGATCTTATTTTTAATAAGATCAATCTTATTTATAAAGAATCCCATAAAATCATTGCTGCTAAGAGCAGGTGGAATGGACGGTTCAACAGAGCTATGGCTCTGGGTGAGTTTGGCAACTGGATTAAAAAGAAATCTAGGATTATTCTTATTCTCCTCTATTAATGAGGAGAAGTATGCTGCTCAGATTAGCTCATTCTGATCCAGTCTTCTTTCTTTTGCAGAGATCTCTGCTGCTGTCTGACGAGTCTGCAGCTTCAGCCTGCGACTTCTCAGGGATTGACATTGGCTCCAAGCCCGGTTCCCTCCCAGATCTGGACAATTAAAAAACCTCAGATCAGATTTGAGTTTATCGTTTCTGAACCGGTTCATGGAAAAAGACCCAGACCTGACTGTTACAGAGCAATTCAAGTTCTTCTACTCACTGACCTTCAGATGCAAAGGTAGAAAAATGCTGAAAGTTCTTAATGTTTGCTCTGAAGTTTGGTTCTGCATCAGGTCCAGGTGGAGACTTGGTGTTTTTATGGAACAGTTTTTGCACTGAAGGTTTGTGTTAAAATGTTTCTTTTTGAAAAATTATTTTTTTAATAAAAAATGTTTTGGATATTATGGAATCTCATTGTGGGGACAATTTGAACTCTATAGACAATTTGGACTTTATGGACAGTTTGGACTCTAAGGACAATTTAAACTAGACAATTTGGACTCTATGGACAGTTTGGACTCTATGGACAGTTTGGACTATATGGACAATTTGAACTCTATGGACAGTTTGGACTCTATGGACAGTTTGGACTATATGGACAATTTGAACTCTATGGACAGTTTGGACTCTATGGACAATTTGAACTCTATGGACAGTTTGGACTCTATGGACAGTTTGGACTATATGGACAATTTGAACTCTATGGACAGTTTGGACTCTATGGACAATTTGAACTCTATGGACAGTTTGGACTATATGGACAATTTGGACTATATGGACAGTTTGGACTTTATGGACAGTTTGGACTCTATGGACAATTTGAACTCTATGGACAGTTTGGACTCTATGGACAATTTGAACTCTATGGACAGTTTGGACTATATGGACAATTCGGACTTTATGGAAAGTTTGGACTCTATGGACAATTTGAACTCTATAGACAGTTTGGACTCTATGGACAGTTTGGACTCTATGGACAATTTGAACTCTATAGACAGTTTGGACTCTATGGACAGTTTGGACTATTTGGACAATTTGGACTCTATGGACAGTTTGGACTCTATGGACAATTTGAACTCTATAGACAGTTTGGACTCTGGACAGTTTGGACTATATGGACAATTTGGACTCTATGGACAGTTTGGACTATATGGACAATTTGGACTCTATGGACAGTTTGGACTCTAAGGACAATTTAAACTAGACAATTTGGACTCTACGGACAGTTTGGACTCTATGGACAGTTTGGACTCTATGGACAATTTGAACTCTATGGACAGTTTGGACTATATGGACAATTTGGACTCTATGGACAGTTTGGACTCTATGGAAGATTTGAACTCTATAGACAATTTGAACTCTATAGACAATTTGGACTCTGGACAGTTTGGACTCTATGGACAGTTTGGACTCTATAGACAGTTTGGACTATAGAAAATTTGGACTCTGGACAGTTTGGACTCTATGGACAGTTTGGACTCTATGGACAGTTTGGACTCTGGACAATTTGGACTCTATGGACAGTTTGGACTCTATGGACAATTTGAACTCTATGGACAGTTTGGACTATATGGACAATTTGGACTCTATGGACAGTTTGGACTCTATGGACAATTTGAACTCTATAGACAATTTGAACTCTATAGACAATTTGGACTCTGGACAGTTTGAACTCTATAGACAATTTGGACTCTATAGACAATTTGGACTCTGGACAATTTGAACTCTATAGACAATTTGAACTCTATAGACAATTTGAACTCTGGACAGTTTGGACTCTATGGACAGTTTGGACTCTATAGACAATTTGGACTCTATAGACAATTTGGACTCTGGACAGTTTGGACTCTATGGACAGTTTGGACTCTATAGACAGTTTGGACTCTATAGAAAATTTGGACTCTGGACAGTTTGGACTCTATGGACAATTTGAACTCTATGGACAGTTTGGACTATATGGACAATTTGGACTCTATGGACAGTTTGGACTCTATGGACAATTTGAACTCTATAGACAATTTGAACTCTATAGACAATTTGGACTCTGGACAGTTTGAACTCTATAGACAATTTGGACTCTGGACAGTTTGGACTCTATGGACAATTTGGACTCTATGGACAGTTTGGACTCTATGGACAGTTTGGACTCTATAGAAAATTTGGACTCTGGACAGTTTGGACTCTATGGACAGTTTGGACTCTGGACAATTTGGACTCTATGGACAGTTTGGACTCTATGGACAGTTTGGACTCTATAGACAATTTGGACTCTGGACAGTTTGGACTCTATGGACAGTTTGGACTCTATGGACAGTTTGGACTCTATAGACAGTTTGGACTCTATGGACAATTTGAACTCTATGGACAGTTTGGACTATATGGACAATTTGGACTCTATGGACAGTTTGGACTCTATGGACAATTTGAACTCTTTAGACAATTTGAACTCTATAGACAATTTGGACTCTGGACAGTTTGGACTCTATGGACAATTTGGACTCTATGGACAGTTTGGACTCTATGGACAGTTTGGACTCTATAGAAAATTTGGACTCTGGACAGTTTGGACTCTATGGACAGTTTGGACTCTATGGACAGTTTGGACTCTGGACAATTTGGACTCTATGGACAGTTTGGACTCTATGGACAGTTTGGACTCTATAGACAATTTGGACTCTGGACAGTTTGGACTCTATGGACAGTTTGGACTCTATAGACAGTTTGGACTCTATAGAAAATTTGGACTCTGGACAGTTTGGACTCTATGGACAATTTGAACTCTATGGACAGTTTGGACTATATGGACAATTTGGACTCTATGGACAGTTTGGACTCTATGGACAATTTGAACTCTATAGACAATTTGAACTCTATAGACAATTTGGACTCTGGACAGTTGGAACTCTATAGACAATTTGGACTCTGGACAGTTTGGACTCTATGGACAATTTGGACTCTATGGACAGTTTGGACTCTATGGACAGTTTGGACTCTATAGAAAATTTGGACTCTGGACAGTTTGGACTCTATGGACAGTTTGGACTCTATGGACAGTTTGGACTCTGGACAATTTGGACTCTATGGACAGTTTGGACTCTATGGACAGTTTGGACTCTGGACAATTTGGACTCTATGGACAGTTTGGACTCTATGGACAATTTGAACTCTATAGACAGTTTGGAATCTATGGACAGTTTGGACTCTATGGACAATTTGAACTCTATAGACAGTTTGGACTCTATGGACAGTTTGGACTATTTGGACAATTTGGACTCTATGGACAGTTTGGACTCTATGGACAATTTGAACTCTATAGACAGTTTGGACTCTGGACAGTTTGGACTATATGGACAATTTGGACTCTATGGACAGTTTGGACTATATGGACAATTTGGACTCTATGGACAGTTTGGACTCTAAGGACAATTTAAACTAGACAATTTGGACTCTGGACAGTTTGGACTCTATGGACAGTTTGGACTCTATGGACAGTTTGGACTCTGGACAATTTGGACTCTATGGACAGTTTGGACTCTATGGACAATTTGAACTCTATAGACAGTTTGGACTCTATGGACAGTTTGGACTATTTGGACAATTTGGACTCTATGGACAGTTTGGACTCTATGGACAATTTGAAATCTATAGACAGTTTGGACTCTGGACAGTTTGGACTATATGGACAATTTGGACTCTATGGACAGTTTGGACTATATGGACAATTTGGACTCTATGGACAGTTTGGACTCTAAGGACAATTTAAACTAGACAATTTGGACTCTACGGACAGTTTGGACTCTATGGACAGTTTGGACTCTATGGACAATTTGAACTCTATGGACAGTTTGGACTATATGGACAATTTGGACTCTATGGACAGTTTGGACTCTATGGACAATTTGAACTCTTTAGACAATTTGAACTCTATAGACAATTTGGACTCTGGACAGTTTGGACTCTATGGACAATTTGGACTCTATGGACAGTTTGGACTCTATGGACAGTTTGGACTCTATAGAAAATTTGGACTCTGGACAGTTTGGACTCTATGGACAGTTTGGACTCTATGGACAGTTTGGACTCTGGACAATTTGGACTCTATGGACAGTTTGGACTCTATGGACAGTTTGGACTCTGGACAATTTGGACTCTATGGACAATTTGGACTCTATGGACAGTTTGGACTCTATGGACAGTTTGGACTCTATAGAAAATTTGGACTCTGGACAGTTTGGACTCTATGGACAGTTTGGACTCTATGGACAATTTGAACTCTATGGACAGTTTGGACTATATGGACAATTTGGACTCTATGGACAGTTTGGACTCTATGGACAATTTGAACTCTTTAGACAATTTGAACTCTATAGACAATTTGGACTCTGGACAGTTTGGACTCTATGGACAATTTGGACTCTATGGACAGTTTGGACTCTATGGACAGTTTGGACTCTATAGAAAATTTGGACTCTGGACAGTTTGGACTCTATGGACAGTTTGGACTCTATGGACAGTTTGGACTCTGGACAATTTGGACTCTATGGACAATTTGGACTCTATGGACAGTTTGGACTCTATGGACAGTTTGGACTCTATAGAAAATTTGGACTCTGGACAGTTTGGACTCTATGGACAGTTTGGACTCTGGACAGTTTGGACTCTGGACAGTTTGGACTCTATGGGGATGGTAGGAAGGGATGCTACCATGGCGTGGAGGTAGAGGTCATGTCACAGGTCCGAGTCCTAGTCCTGCTGACCTTTGCCGCATGTCTCTCCCTTTCTTCTAACCTTCCAAGTCGTAACCACTGAGTAAAATTAGCCAATCAAAGCACCTGCTGAGTGAACAGCTGAGATCAGAGCTGCATGCAACATGAAGGATTGCAGCAACGTCTGGTTTTCATCTGCACCCAGCAATACCTCACTGCAGTGGGAAAAATATTCAACTATTCACCATTAACCCCATTTTCACATCTTTGCAAAGAGAGAACAGTTGATCATTCGGCCCTTATGGCTCAGTAATCTGCCCTGTTCTGACTGGGCAGCGTTCGTTCCTCCTCATTTACAATAATGGAAAGTAGTCAGAGTCAAAACAAATTACAGACATTTAGGTTAAATAGTAACGTAATGAATAAACCTGGAGAAGAATCTGTTTTGTTACTGGAATAAGGGTTTTTTCTTGTCTACAAACAGCCTCACACAGAGGAGTGCTGTGGCCTTGCTGAGTGAAAACTTTTAGAGTGAGTCAGTAGGATAAATTAATATATGAAATAAGAGAAACAACATTTTTTGATCACACTCACCAAGACCCTGCACAGGCGTTGGACCCGGTTTCTCTATAATTACAAATGTTTTATGAAAATTTTAAAGACTCGTGCATCTCTGAAGGAAGACCTCCTCTTGGGAAATCGCATCACAATCTTATGGTTTATAAACCACTTTATAAGAGACAACCTGCAATAAAAAGAACCGTAAGAAGATGGTCACAGGCAGGGGCGGATCTATAGGGGTGGCTACGGGAGCAATTGACTCCCCCGAAATCTGATTGGCTACCCCAACTGCCACCCCAGATGATTGACGGCACCGCTAAAACAGTTGCACGTCTGAAGTCTTTGACTGCGATGTTCTTCCTGTACAGTAGATGGCGCAATGCAGCATGCGCTATGCAGCCCCTTTCCAGTCGTGAATCTAGTGTGAAAGAAGAAGAACTAAAGCGCCTGTGGAGCCACCGAGTGCAACAAGCTGCAAAACATTACCGGTGAGTAGGCTGCACGTCCACAGATTATATTCATAAAAGAAGCTCAATAACTAAGAGTTTGATAAGTTCAGTCAATGAGGATCATCCTCTGTTCAATTGATGTCCGTTTCATAAATCAGAATGATAAGGAGAAGCCCTTGCTTTTCACGAAGGGCAGCTAGAAGCTAGCCTGGCTGTAAACAGACAGGTGCAGGTGGGTGATATTGATGCGTTTCAGTGTCAATTTCTGTGATTTCATGCCCATGTCTGCTGAAAATACTGCTGACGAGAACGGAAACTATTTCATTTTTTTTTATGTCCGTGTCTAGAACCTTCTGAATTATGAAACCAGCAATATCTTTGATCAGAACCGTTTGCCCATGTCATGAAATGCATTACTAGTCGTAGATAATTCACGACCGATGTAGTTAGCTAGTCTCAGGGCAGCAGACAAATGTAATCCACAGTAAAGTTATGGCAGGCTGAAACCTTAATTGAATGGATAGATTCAGAGGCGTGCACAGACATTTTGGGGGGCAGGTGCTCAGGAGGGGGGCAGGGCACTTTTTAGCGCACGTGTAACACTTAATTATAAAAAAAAATACACACGCATGTTGAATGAATTTTGACTTTTATTTGTAACATTCTATAAACGTGAGTTTTCAATGAAAAAATCCCTCATCCATCTGGTCTCCCTCATCCTGGTCTTTTTCTGTCTCTGTGTCTTCCCTGAACTCTTCCTCATCTCCTGTCCTGGTAGATGTTGATGGTATAGAGCTTCCCTGCTGTGACTGGCTACAATATATTAATAATAACCATCATGACAATAATAATGATAATAATAATAATAATAGCTTTAACAAATATGCCACATTAGTTTAAATAATGGGCTATTAGGGCAACATGACTGGAAGTCTTGTCACGTGGATATGACTTATGGTAGCCTACAAAATAATAGCTATTTCAATACCTGCTGATTTTGTACAAACCACTTAAAAATAAAATGTGAACAGCTTTTAAGATTTTTCAATACGATTAACCCTCCTTTCTTGGTATTGTGCTGCATTTACTAAATCAATATACAATTAAGACAATAAAGAGACCAAAATTTGTTAATTAATGTTTCCTAACAAAACCCATACAACAGAAAACGTTTGTCTTAACACATAGATTTGCAATTGCAAACTCTACCGAAATTATTTGTAGCCTATGTGGACGTCCACACGTTATCTGTCATTGACTTGGGCTACAGTGTAAAACTTTATCTAGCCTAACTAGTTTATCAGGTGACCAGTCGGCAAAATGCATGTTTGGTGCTGCTGAATGAGACATTTTAATGCACAACAAAATGATATTGCTTGATCTGTATATTACCTGGCTAATGGGGCACGGGAGAAGCAGCCTGTCAGCGACCATTCCTGCTATCCGAAGATGCTTACTGAACTGCTATGATGCTGCGCATCTGGCATGCCCTGCGGGCGACCGCGCGAGGTCACGTGACAAAGGAAGAGAGAGAGGCTGGTCGGGTGTGTAAGGAGGTGGCTCATTTCGGGGCATTGTTTCAGTCGTTTTTAATGGCTCAGGTTTTCAAAAGATCATTTTAAAACCGACCTCAGTAAAATCTTAATAATAAAAATAAAAAACGAGTTTCAAAAGGGCATTTTCGTTGATAAAGGGCAAACTTCCTAGTGCTTTAGCACCACCTAGTGTCTATGTATGCACGCCCCTGGATAGATTGCAGTCACTAGACATGTCCTATTGTTGTGTTCTGATATTTCTAGGCTGTAATAATGTAGTCTGTATTCATTAATTTCCTTGTGCATCATTTTGGACACGAAATGTTGCATTTTGCTTTGATAAGAGAAGTCATGCATGCTAGGAGTAACAAAACGTTTTTTTTCCAGTTGAGAATGAAAAGACAGGGAGGCACGATTTATAACTACTTTAAGAGAAACAGATCAGGCTTAGAGCAGATCAGCAGCCCCGGCAGCCCTCATCCTGGGACTAGTCAGGAAAGTCCAGCAGAATCCAGCCTGTCATCATCGCCAGGTTTGAACATACAGAAGCAGTCACATGTTCAGTTATTTTAAATTATATTTAACATTATTTCAGATGTTCAGTTCAGTCATTTTAAGTTATGTTAAACATTATTTTGAATGTTGGTTATTGTTGTATGTTTAGTTTTAGACAATGGTTGTTTATTTTGATCATACTATTAAATAAATATTTTTCTACTATGTAGGTGTGAGAGTGGACCGAGATGATGACAAGTCCCAAACTGGAACCATTACCGAGGAGTGTCAGGCACAACACAGCCCACCATCATCAGGTCAGAGCAAGTCAGACATGCCAAGTTCAGTCAGTGTGAGATTGTTCTATAATATGTAATTTATAGTATGTGTTGCTTTTAACATTATTTATTTATATTATTTTTATTGTTATTATTGTTTCACAATATAGTTCCTTCTGAGGAAGTCTCTGAGGCTTCTGAACAAGACGACGACCCAGACCCAGAGCAACCTGAGCCTGAAGATGTGTCCAGCACTGCCTTTGCACCTTCAAAAGGGCCCAGTGGTAGGTCTATTTGAAACCTATATGTCTATGTGATACCTGCTAATTCGCTGTTTCTGATCACCTTGTGCATCTCTGATTCTCAACTATGATTCATTGTATCATGTTACAGATATTTCAACATCGAGAGAAGAGGTACCAGTTCAGCCACATTTGAGTAAATACCCCAAGACTCTCCATGGCACCAGCAAGAGGGCCTTCAATAGCAAGTGGTACACGAACAATTCATGGCTTGAGTATTCAGTGTCAAAAAACTCTTGCTACTGCTTTGCTTGCAGGCATTTTTCGTTGCCCAATGCGCCTGACTCTGCCTTCACATCTGATGTAGGCTTTTCAAATTGGAAAAAGGCACTGTCAAAAGAGGCAGGATTTAAACTCCATTCTAGATCTGAGCTTCATATTAACGCAATGTATGCATGGTCTGAGTTCAAAAAGAGGAAAGAAGTAGATCAGACTTTGTTAAATGCACTAAATGAAAAGCACAAAAAAAAGGTGCAAGAAAACAGGCAGTACATCAAAACAATTGCAGAAGTACTCCTTTTGACTGCCACCCAAAACATACCCCAAAGGGGTCATGAAGAGTCTCAAGAATCAAAAAACAAGGGTAACTTCTTGACAATACTTGACACAATCGCGAAACATGACAGCTTCATACAGCAAAGATTAGAGGCATCTGGTAATGCAAAGTACACCAGTCACAACATCCAAAATGAAATGCTTCAGACATTAGCTGATATGGTTCAAAAACAAATAATTGCAGAAGTGAAAGAAAGTGAAGTCTTTAGTGTTATGGCTGACGAAACAAAAGATTTGAAAAAAAGGAACAAATGTCGTTGGTAGTGCGCTACTACTACAATGGTGCCATACATGAAAGCTTCCTATGCTTCCAACCAGCTGAGACCCTTAATGCAGAAGGCCTCAGTCAAATGATTGTCCGTTGTTTAGAGAGACATGGTCTAGACTACAGGAACAACTTGGTGGGACAAGGTTATGACGGAGCCTCTGTCATGAGTGGCAAGCATTCTGGGGTTGCAGCAAAAATACAGAGCAATGCCAGATTTGCGTTTTACGTGCATTGCAATGCTCATTGCTTAAATTTAGTTCTTGTTGATGCTACAAAATCAGTGCCTGAGGTTGTGGACTTTTTTGCACTTCTGCAGCAGCTATATAACTTTATATCTGGCTCTTATGTGCACCTGAGGTGGCTTGATGTTCAACAGAAACTATATCCATCACAGCAGCCCAGGGAACTACAGTCACTTTCAGACACCAGGTGGGCCTGCAGATATGCAGCATGCCGTAATCTTAGGGACAGACTTCCTGCAGTGCTGAAACTATTGCAAGATCTCTCACTTGAAAAACATGGTGAAAGATCAGTGCTAGCAAGGGGGCTTCTTTCACAAATTGACTTGCAGTTCTTGGGGCTTTTGGTCACTTTCTGTGAAGTACTTGGGGATGCCAAGTGTCTGTCAGACATGCTCCAGTCCAGCACTCTCAACTTAGCAAGGGCTGTGGATTTAGTACAGTCCCTTAAAAGCACTTTCCACAATTACAGATCTGATGATTATTTTAGCAAACTGTGGAAAGAGGTTGAGGAGCTTGCACAACAGTGTGAAATTGGTGTACAAGCAGACAAGAAAAGGCAACGAAAAATAAGCTCAAAATTCCTGGACTCACTGATGATGAGCTCAGTAGGGCAGAGAAATTGGAATGAAGAGGATTTCCCCAGAGCATTATTTTACCAAGTCATTGATTGTCTAATTAGTGAGCTGGATAGGCGTTTTTCTGGCAAAAATTGTGAGATCATGCATGGTGTCCAGTCTCTCAATCCAAATAGTGCAACCTTTCTAAATAATGAGCCTTTGTTTGCCTATGCCCAAACCTTTGAGTCTGATGTATGTGACCTTAGACATGAAGTTCACCAAACAAAGCGGCTACTGGAAAGGAGAATGAAAAGGGGGTTAGACAAACCAGCTTCTCTGCTTGAATTTCTTGTCTTTCTTGAGCCCTACAAAGAAGTTTTTCACGAGCTATTCAGGCTCTGCAAAATTGCCATTGTTATACCTGTTAGCACTGCTTCCTGTGAGAGAAGCTTCTCTGCCTTAAAGCTAATAAAAACACATCTCAGGACAACAATGATGGATGACCGGTTGAATCATCTAGCCATTCTAAGTGTTGAGTCCAGGAGGGCACGTGCCCTTGACATGGATGATTTTGTCAATAATTTTGCCACTTCTCATCAAAATAGAAGAATTATGCTTCTTTGAAGTTATCACCATGCTCTGCACTCAAATCAAGTCAAGTGAACGTAATTGTTAAAAATCTATGTCACACAGTCATCACAGAAGTTTGCACACACATACACATTAAACACTTGATAGCACACACACACACACACACACACCTTGTGCTGAAGAAGAAGACTAACACTTATGGACAGTAGCAATGTGTGTAAATGGAACCGAGCTGGGCACGGTTAACTGATCCAGGCTAACGTTAGCCTGTCTGCAGCAGCCGAGGCTAACGTGATTTGCCTTTAGGATTAGCAAACAATCTGTACTCTGAAGCTAGCTAGTCAAACAACGCTTTAATTTCCTAATTACATTCATCCTCGTGAATTAGCATTAGCCAACAGTTCAGCTAATGTTAGGGATGCTAGTCCGTTACGGTTTAGCCTAACGATGATTCTAGCTCGACAGTAATGGGTTAGGAGAATATATCACTATTGAGGCGTTGTAAATGTTTTGTTGTATAAAATGTTATTTTACATATTGTTTAATTAAATCATTTAAATGATGAATTCCAATCATCATATTATATACATAAATAGATTAAACATAAATATAGAGATGACATCAGTATGTATTTAAATTTATATTTAGCATTTGCCTTAAACTGTGAAGAAAAGGACAAACATCTCTCTCAAATGAATATTCTTTATTTGAATATTTAACTGAATATCTTTCGGTTGTTTGCTGAAAATGATCGTTTTAGATTTAGAAATGCTGATTGATGATTTATTACTGTCAAACCATCATTTTAACTTCTGTTGAGCTGTCAGTCATTAGGAGCTGTAGATCTTTCCCTGAACAGACTTTGCTACTGTCATCATTAAACTTGGCTGAGATATGATAAAGGTCGTTTATATATGATCAAAACATTTTAGGGACCAAAATTGATGGTTGGGGGCCACAACAAGTTATGTCCCGTCTTCTAATGAGAATTAAGCTGAACATATTGTTCCCTATTAGTCTTTGAACAAACAGGGAAAGATAAAGAGAAGATAACAGGAAGGCTAGTTTAGAAATGAAGTATAGGTGAAACAGGATAATCTTCCTGCCTGATAAAACATTAATAAACGGCACGGTGAGGTCACCCATTCAGGGTTTGGGTCGGTCCGGACCGGACCACCGTTTAATATAACGGGTGTTTCTAAAGGCAGAGAGGGAAGCTAAATGTTGTTTATAATACTTTTCCACTCATGTAAGAAGCAACAACTTTAATAAAACTTTATGGCTGAGATGAAACTAAGATCTGTGAAGCTATGAAACATAAACTGTGTTCAGTTATTTATTATAATATTGTAATGGCGCCACTCCCCATAATACTATGGGATGTTTTCCTAGCATCAGATGGCCTCGCTGTTGTTTCATTGATGCTTTGGAAAATGTGTGAATTATAAAATATTAATAATATAACTGCCACATTGATCCGATGGTCGAGTGCTTGGATGATTACGTCTGACTTTTATCTCATTCTGGAAAGATGTTGGTTTCAGGAATGATAACGGTGAACCAGAACACCATAGAAACCAGGAGCTTCTGTTTGTTTCTGCAGTTCGACTTCATTGGATGGATACCCCCCACCCCAGTCTCTCTAGAACGTTCCACCTCCATCCAGGAAGGGAGCGTCTACAGAGACCGCTCTGCTGGACACGCTTCCTGCTATGAACACCACCTGCATGGGATGCTAACAGTCCCTGCTGTAGTGGGAGATAATGATGGATGCTGAGGGAACTATTCCTGAGTCCTGATACCACTTCTCACTTAGACAGTCACGAGTTCCTTCTATAAACGTCTCTTTGAACAGCTAGAAACAGCCAGATGTGGGTCAGAACCAACCAGAATTGAGAGCCTTCTTGTGGACTCCTGATTCCTGACCACAGTCCAGAGCATAACTGGTACCATGCCAGTAAATCTCTTGGTCAGTCTCCCACTGGTTCCGACAGACCAGGATGCCGGGTTACTTAAAGTCCTCCCTGGAGGTAGATCTGGATCCCAGACCCAGAGGGGGAAGTCTAGTTTTTTCTGAGGCAGAACCTCAGCTGCAGACCGATCCAACTCATGCTGAACACGTTCATAACGGAGCAGCAGAACGCGTCACAACAGCTCGTCCTTGGATACCACAAACTGTCTGCATTAATGTTCTGCTTTGTGTTCAGAGAAGAAGAAAGCTCCCTGTTGCCTTTATTCTGGAAGCTTCCCCCACAAATCCTTAAGGGAAATAATCAGGAGCCTTCTCCAGATCCACAGAACAAACCAACTCCTCAGCAGCTGGCGGTCAGGAAGAATCCCAAACTTTCCCTCCAGGAGTCCATTTCACAAAGCAGGTTTACTGAAAGAGAGTTTCCTCATCCTCTGTTTCTGTTGCCATGGTAACATCCTCCCAGAGTTAACCTGGTCAGCAGCAGGTTTCCTTCAGTAAACTTAGTGTCCTCTGGCTTCACCTTACAGCCAATCAGGCTGCTTTAGTTCCTGAATTAGTCCGATGTTTAGACTTAGACATGTGATTGGTGGTGAACCTGGGGACGCAGTCGTGTGTCATCAGGGTGAACAGCAGGGGGCTCAGGACGCAGCCCTGAGGGGAGGGGCTTAGACTGATGACATCAGAGGTCCGACCCGGACTGACTGAGGTCTGTTGGTGAGGAAGTCTAGCAGCCAATAGCAGAGGGGTGTATTGAAGCCCAGCTGTTCCAGTTTGCCCATCAGATGCTGTGGGATGATGGTGCTGAAAGCTGAACTGAAGTCCAGGAACAGCATCCATCGTAGGTGTTCTTCTCCTCCAGGTGTGCCAGGCTCAGGTGGAGAGCAGCAGAGACGGCGTCCTCAGTGGAGCGGTTCCGTCGGTAGGCGAACTGGAACGGGTGGAATGTTGGCGGCAGACTGGAGACGATGTGTTCTTTAACCAGCCTTTGGAAGCACTTCATCATGATGGGAGTCAGAGCGACAGGCCGCTAATCATTGAGGGAGGCGACCTGAGGCTTCTGGAACAATGGAGGCAGACTGGAAGCATGCTGGCACTATGGATTGGTCCAGCCAGGTGTTAAAGATGTCTGTGAGGACACCAGCCAGCTGATCTGACCACTCCTTATACACCTGCCCAGGTGTGTTATCAGGCCCTGGGGCCTTCCTTGGGTTGACTCTCCTCAGAGTTGTAGTCTGTGATCATCCGAATGCCTTTCCACATCCTCCTGGTGTTGCTGTCGTTGTGGAAAAGATCCTGGATCTTCTGGCTGTGGTTCTGCTTCGCTGATCTGATGGTTTAAGTTTCCTCTCGCTGTTCTCAGAGCCTCTTTCTCACCAGACTTGAAAGCTGAGTTTGGTGCTTTTAGCGATTTCTGAACCTCTCCATTTATCCAGGGTGGTTGGTTGGCCCGGGTGGTGATGTTCTTTTTGATGCTGACGTCCTCAATGCATTTGTTGATGTAGGCTGACACAGTCATGGCATACTCATCAATATTTAATAAGTTGTCATATGTTGCTGCAGCCTTGAAGATGTTCCAGTCAGAGCATTCAAAACAGTCTTGGAGTGTTTCCATGGCGCCCTCAGACCACACTCTGACCTCTTTAACTGTCGGTTTAGCCCTGATCAGCTGGGGTTTTATATACAAGGATAAGCATGACAGAGAGGTGATCTGATGACCCGAGGTGGGGGCGGGGGGCTGCTCTGAATGCATCTCTGATGTCAGAGTAAACCAGATCTAAACTGTTTTCACCCCGAGTTGCAAAGTCCACATGTTGGTAGAAATGAGGGAGAATCCCTACAAGTCCTTGGTTCCAGGTACTCAGAAATGTACTTCCATACAGAAAGCCCATATTCTGATCTTCAGGTACCATAATAATAATTCAACTTTATTGTCTTTCCACAGTCACAAGTACAGAACAACAAAATGAATTCTCTGCATTTAAGCCATCCCCATGGCGAGCAGCGGGCTGCCAGTGTGCGGCGCCAGGGGAGCAGTGTGGGGTTAAGGGTCTTGTTCAGGGAGCCAGAGTGGCAGTCTGTGGGAGTGGGGGGTCAAACTCACAACCTCAGGATTCAAAGCCCTATGCCCTAACCGCTAGACCGCCACTCTCCACATAGAGTACATGTCAGATTAAATAATACTGCTTATACTTCAGCAATAGAATCAAGGTGTTACTTTACTGTATCTCTTATTCTATATCCAGTGGTTGTTCTGTTCTTTTTCCATGTCTTTGCAGGTAATGAAGCAGACTGAAAATGTTTTATCATTTCTTTGTTTTTTCTCTTTCTTTCATCTTTTCTCCTGTTTTTCCTGTCCTGTTCTAAATGGTAGACGTCCTGTACTTATATAGAGCCTTTATCAAGTCAGGAGACTTGACCGAAGCGCTTTACTCTACATTCATTCACCCATTCACACACTCACACACTGATGGTGGTGAGCCACAGCTGACCCCCCCCCCCCCCCCTCCACCACATGGATGCTTCCTGGAGGCTAGCGGAATTAGCCTCCTCTCTTCCTGCCTGATGTCCCCTGGAAGCGATCTGAGAGTAGCCTTCCGCCTTCCTGCCGTCAAAGTGACGGGTGGTGATGTTCTTTTTGATGCTGGCGGTTGGTAAGGCAAGGCAAGGCAAATTTATTTGTATAGCACAATTCAGTACAGAGACAATGCAAAGTGCTTTACATGATTAAAATACAGGAAGATAAAACAGAATCAAAGCAAGTAGGAAAAAAAATTAAAAATGAATAAAATAAAATAAAAAAAATGCAGAAACAAAAAAGAATATTAAAAACAGTTGGGTTAGCATTTGATTAAAAATGTCTCCTTGGGCAGTTGACAATTCTCTGGAACCTTGCCTTTTATTCTACTACGATAGAACTGCAAAACCTTTCCCATTATCTACAGGTAATTTAACTCTGCCCGATACACACCAATCCTCTGGTGCCGACCTGGATAACTGGGGGGATCCCACTCTAGATTACCGACGTCTCAGTAAAATGAAATGCCTTCTGGCGGCACCTACAGCCTTCCTCTCACCCTTAGAGAGAGCCTCTCGTTCCTATGCGAGGTCTTTTGGTTCACAGGCGGAACAAAACCTGAACTGCCTTTCTGCTCCCCAAAAAGAAAAGTTCTCTGTTATTTTGTCTTTAACATTTTTGTCTATTGCAACATTAAAAGAACCTTATTTTCTTTGCAATTGA